AGGACTTTGGCGCCGCGGGGCTCAAAGTCGGCGCGCTGATTTCGCGCAACGAAGCGCTTAAAAAAGCGGTCCATGCCGTACTCCGGTTCCACGGCGTAAGTGGACCCAGTGTTGCAGTTGCGACGGCCATGTTGGAAGATCGGGACTGGGTGCGTGGATTCATCGCGCTCTCGCGACAAAGGATTGCAGATGCGTATTTGTACTTCACCACCCGTCTGGCTGAGATTGGGATCCGGTACTACGAAGGTGGGAATGCGGGGTTTTTTCTCTGGATCGATATGTCGCCTTTTCTTCCCCTGGGCGCGCCGGGGGCCGCTGCGTTGACGGATGCGCAGAAGGAGATTGGGCTTGCGGAGCGGCTTTTGCGTAGTGGGCTTGTCTTGCAGCCTGGTGAGGAGCATGGTGTTGCGGTAGGCTGGTTTAGAGTCGTGTTTACAATGGAGAGGGGCGTTGTGGAGGAGGGGTTGCGGAGGCTGGAAGGAGTTGTCAAGGAGATTGTTGGGCGGTGGTAGGCATGTAGGCATGCAAGACGAGGCAGGTCCTTGAGAACAGGGAACTAGAACATGGTGGTTCGAGGGGGGGAATTAGCTACCTGCATGACGTGCTAGAATCCGAGGAAAGATCTTTTATGAAAGACTTGAGAGAAGCAATTCTGACTGGCCCACAAGAGCGGGCCTGCTTTGCATAGATCTTGTAACAGAAGTTAGCTTGGCTGAGGACTTGTAAAGTACCATTAGTTGTAAATTTGGAAAGTCCCTGTCCATCTGGCAGATATACATATAGAAGTGGTGTTAAGTGCTCCCTTTGACTTTGTTTCTATTACTGATGTATAGCTGTGCGCGGCGAGCCATTCCTCCCACTCTGCTATTTCTTGGCGAAGACGTGGTGTGTCTCATTGTAGGTTGGCGACTATCTGTAGTTTGCGGAGGCACTGAGGCTATGACGTTTCTCACTTGTGTCTCTACCTTCTAAATATATTGCGCAACGAACAGCCGGTTTTAAAAGAATACTCGCCCAACTATCGATGCTGTTAGATTTACTCGTGGAAGAGAAATATAAACAAGTCCGCACCATGGAGTTAAGTTTACCTGGCAATATTCACGGACACCACAATCACCCGTGTAGATGTCATTCTCTTCTACCACCCTCAGATCGACTGGCCACTGAACATGTACCGCCACTCGGCTTCCTCGACCTCACGCTGTGCACATTTTTCCACCAACAACAGAGCTACTTACATCAGCCTTAACTAAGTCGCTTGCCTGTCGGTTTCCTCGTGACGTGCCGCAAGGTTCAGAACTAATGCACAACGGTTTTTCAATCCCTTGTTCAGGCCTAGTGTAAACCGGTTTTCGCTCCTTCACTCAACTGATTACACTCCAAGCCAGTCCAATTAACTCTCAATAAAGCAAGCAGGCGCGTTTTTTTGCTGGCACTCTGGCGAACTTTCTGCTCTTGTGAAACAAAATGAGAAAAGAACGTAAGTTCACGGCAAAGATGCCCGGTTTTATCGCAGTTTCGACGGAACGATTACCATGCAGATCCATTCTGAGGTTGATCAAGATTAAGTTCAAACTCAGTTTTTGACATGTCGGCCATGCTAACTCCATGAGGCACCTCGCCGCAGAGCTTGGAACAAATCAATCAAACTGTCTCAGAAGTAGATTTGTCAAGGAGATTTCCTGGGCAAGCTACCCGCCTAGGCGAGCTACATGCCCAAGGCTGCACGCTCAAGGCGGACAACTATGTTGTCATCTCTATTGCCTCTCAAGACTTCTGGGAAATACTGGTACTCTTCTGCTCCTTCCCGGCTTCCCCTACACGAGATACCATTGTTTGCACGGACTATGGCGCCAACATCCCCGCATGGTGGCGCCTCGTTTACCAGTACCCCACATGCACCCACCACTCCTTGATCCCGCCGCACCACCACCCCAGCCTGCCGACATGGTTGTGCTATGGTAACTTTAAGTTGACCTGCATGACACACACGTTGCGAACCGTTATTCACCGTAAGCACGGTCGTACTAAGTTGCAGTTGTACCCTTGGTCATGTGTGATCGCGCTCAGATCAACGGTCGGCATCATGCGGGACCGTGTCGCATATATGGAGGGCCTGGCTACGTCTATCCCGTCCCTTGTTGTTCAGGTTTCATTGCTGCTATTGGTCGAATTGGCCAACTTTGCTTGCTACACGATGCGTATATCTGTGATCTGCTCTGCAGCTACGTTTCAGCATCCCCAACCGATGATGACTAGATGCCGTCTTGGCCCCACTTTTGCTCATGTTCCTGGTTGCATATGGCACTCTGATGGCTTGATACCTCTGCAGCCACTGGATTACTGTGCCCTTATATACGATCGTGTCCCTGACGGGTATGGGCGGCCTGAGTCAGTCCGTAGCGGAGTCTCCACACACCCTTAGACTATCCCATGCACAAGTTTAAGTACTTAGCTCGACTTGATGGAACACCTGTCCTTGGGAACACTCTTTTCTGGTCTTGCGCACTAACCCACCGCGGGACTTGAGGCTCTTGTGTATTGCTCTCTGGAACGATGAGACCTCTGCGATTGCTAGTCCCATCCATGATATTGGTCTCGGTTGGACTCGCACAAGATCCTGGATTGTCCTCGGCGATTGCAACGTTTCCCAAATGCGCGGTATGATCTTGTCGAAGGCCCAAGCCCAGTATCATAGCTTAACTAAATTTGATAGCTATCGTGCCTTCTCACCTCAATACAGGGTTCGCCATGCGAACTTTCGAACCAGACGTGCATATGTACCAATGTTGAACTACAAGGCAGCATCGAACATTGTGTGCGACAATCCTGCACTATCAGGGAAAGCCTGAGTGAGTAGCAGGTAATCATCATTCGGAACTTTGGCTGATCAGTTTGCGCCTAGCTGCGAAGAATGCTACTCAACCAATCTGCAACATTCCTACGCGGTACAAAGGCAGAACCACTCGTGTTTGCGGCCTAGCTTTCTCTATTATTTGCCCCTTAATTGTCTCTGTACGGCTTTTATACAAGGCGATGTTGTCAACTACAAATCTAGGCCTAGACGATTGGACCATCCTACTATTACTATGCGTGAGCATACCTTCTATGGTCATCATCGACAAATTCGCGATACCGTATGGAGCTGGGATGGACGTTTGGACGGTGCCTTTTGATCATATCACCAACTTCGTCCGCTGGTTATATGTGCTTGGAATCCTCTACCTCCTCCAAATCGCCCTCTTGAAACTTAGCATACTCTTTTTCTTACTGAGAATATTTCCTCGACGAATGACCACACGAGTCCTCAAGGCTACCATCGTATTCACCATGCTCTATGGTGCAGCTTTCGTCATTGCTGGCATCTTCCAATGTCAACCTGTTAGCTTCTATTGGACGTCCTGGGATAAGAACCCAACTATCCGGGGGAAATGCATGAACATCAACGCTTTAAACTGGAGCAACGCCGCAATTGGCATTGTGCTGGATGTTTGGATGCTAGCTATTCCGCTATATGAAGTTTTTCACTTGAAACTATCGTTGCAGAAAAAGATCAGTGTGAGCCTGATGTTCTTCGTTGGTACATTGTAGGTATTGCAGCTACAAGGTATTCCGCACAATCGTCTGATCAGATTCTAGTGTTACAGTAATATCATGCGTCCGTCTACAGTCTCTGGTTACCTTTGCCGCTTCGTCGAATCCGACCTGGAACCAAGCCGACGTCATCACCTGGTCACTTATCGAGATCGGCGTAGGCATTATATGCGCCTGCATGCCCGCTCTTCGCGTCATCCTCAACCGCATGTTCCCTAAGCTTCTTAGCCTAACCATGAACAGGAGTCAGCCATATTATGCGAACCGCTCCGATCGCACTCACAACAGTGGAGGAGGTGCAAGCAAGCTAGGCAATGGGCTGAATAGGCAACAGAATACAAACCCTGAGGATCGTGTCATCAAAGTTTCGAAGTCTTTCGAAGTGCACCACAACGATGATGATGAGGCGCAGCTGTTACAGCTAGCTGAGCTGACATCAAAACCAGACAAAGCGCAAATCAAGAACACGACTGAACAAAGCCTGTAGACATCGAATATAATTCATTACTATAATTAACCGTAGCGGTCATTTTATTGGATCTGAAATCGACTTTGAGGAGCAAGTGTGAAAGAAGAGCGGTGCTGCTACTTGCATCATCCTTTCCACATGCTAAACGTAATTAACCCTAGTCGTATGCATCGCTAACTATTTCCCCTTCTACATGCTAGTCATTTCGCTCCTGGGTATCATCAGCAAGTGACTCAGAAGTACAGTGGAAAGCTAGCCATATCCACGGAATGCGGACGCAAAACCCTTGACCGAATTCGGCATTGACTATTTGGTGCTTTGGTGCGGTGTAGTAGCTGGGCAAATTTTCTTCGGAGCAGAACGCGAGATTTTCTGGCATGATAGCATACAAACCAGCACACATCGGAGCATTTAAATTTAAAGTATCTTGAATGCGGACTCACATGTTAATGTTTAGGAGACTATTGCAAACAAGAGGCTCAATATCAGCGGCTCTTTCTTCCCCTGGTACTAGTCGAACATTGCCTTCGGAGTAGATTGCTTACTTTGACCTCCGTCGCCAAGAGAACTCAGCAGAACATAATCGTTCTTTCAGTCAGCAGAGGGCTAGAATGTAGAGTTCTGAGGAAAGAGTCTAAGGGCAAGAGCACGGAGGTTCATTGTACCACTAGGAAATGTGGTAAACCAGTGACGAGAGGCTTTTCTCGACTGGGAATCCTTGGAAGGGTCATTCGAGAAGCTTCGGTTGTATTCCAACCATCGTCAAAGTCTGCCTGGCCATCTATCATCCAACGAAATAAAAACAATAGATTGATGCGTGCTCATGCCTTTCAGTCTTGTCTATCAAAAAGGAGTAGATATAACACTACTAATAGTATTCAAATGAGAGGCGGGGCCTAAAAAGCATGTTCTCCTGTTAAAGAATGCAAAAAGAAATTGCTCCCTGCCAGACTCGAACTGGCGGCCTTGGGATTACTCTAGGCGAAGCTAGATCATATTTGGAGATATGAGACCCACGTGATAACCAACTACACCAAGGAAGCTTGTATTATTCGATAGAAAAAAGGCAATAAAAAATTATAATATACCACATATCCAAGTAAACAAATTTGTACAAGCGAGCTGCTAGCTTCGTCTAGCCTCGTGCTATTGAAACAACCGAATGCACATCGGGACAGAGACTCAGCCTCGCGTTTGGTTCATAATTCTCTTCGTGCCGTGCTAATGGAGCTAGCAGGGTTGTTGCCGAAACGGCGAAGATACCCACCAGTGGCCCGGTTGCTGATATAAACTAGCGCCAGGCATAAAGTTAGACTAGCTCCTCCATTCTACCCAGCCTTCAAAATCCCTTTTCAGTGTTGACAGGACTACCCTCACGTGATAAAATGGCCTCGTCAATTTGCCGGGCCACTAGCGACAGGTCTTTTGGTCCCAGAGTGGATCCCTCTTGTCGCGCCTTTGACTTCACACTCTTTTTTGAGGATATCTTTTGCGCAGGTTTTCCGCCTGTTGTGCTTTTAGTCCTGTTGCCTTTCCGCATTACGGTTCTGACAAAATCGCCTGTATTGTGCTCAGTGAGATCAAAATTGCTATTTGGAAAGCTAGTGGGGCCCCGCAGAGCCAAGGCTCGACCGTGCCACAATTGACAGTTGCATAGGGGGCTTTGAGTGCCATTTTCGTAACACAAGTGGTTTTCCTGGCATTGAGATCACAAAACACCACTGTCCAAACAAATGCATCTTTGGCCACAGACATACTGGCAATCGCTGGAATTGCTGGTGTTGGATGGCTTTCGTATATGGGACACCAGCGCTCACTTCGCCCCTCTACTCTGATCAGCCTCTACCTTTCGGCATTGGTTATTCTCAGTCTTCCGAGGATTCGAACGCTATGGCTTATAAGGAGCACCAAGGGAGCTGCAGCTGCAATGACTGTAACGTTGGTGTTGACAGCGGTAGCGCTTTTGCTCGAGTCCATCGAGAAGAAATCAAGCGTGGTAGAGGAGAAGAGATTCGGTGCACCAGAAGAATATAGCGGATTTTGGACCCGGACTGCATTTGTGTGGCTAGCAGCCACCTTTCGCGCTGGCTATACCAAAGTCTTAGTCCCGGACGACTTGCCTATCCTTGATACTCGTCTTCAAAGTGATGTGTTGCGACAAAATCTTATGAGTACTTGGGCAAAATGCATGTATCTCGTCACAAGAACGCAGTGACCGCCTCACTAACCTCCCATGTATAGATGACCATCGCATACCACATAGCCTCCTGAAAGCATGTTTCCATACCAATTTGTTCTCTTTTCTTTCTGCTATTCCGCCACGGCTGTGCCGGTCCGTCTTCTACTTTACACAGCCGCTCTTAATCAATGCGACAATCTCATACGTGGGGAACGCATCGGCGGACAGCAATTTCGGCATAGCGCTGATCGGGGCATGGGTTCTAGTGTTTTGCGGTATTGCAGTATAAGCTTGCTCACGTTTGATTCAACCATAAAAGTTTTCTAACCTTTGTGCAGTGCTCAACCGCATTATCCACTTATCAGGTGACGCGGTTCGTCACAAGGGTCAAAGGAGGACTCATCGGACTCATCTACCAAGAGTCAATAAAGGCAAGGACAGTGGACCTCGGAGAAACCACTGCTATAGCCCTAATGGGGACGGACGTTGAGCGTATTGGCTTTAATTTTATGCAAATCCATGAAGCATGGGCCTCTGTCATCGAAATTGGTGTGGCAATCTGGCTCTTGGAACAGCAAGTCTTCTTAGCCTGCCTGGCACCGGTGATTGTCATTATTGGTAAGTCAATCAGTCTCGGATACTCGCTCTTTGTTGGCTAACAGAGGCATCAAGTTTCCATTGGTATCAATGTGCCAGTGTCTAATGCTGCGAAAAAGGCACAAGTAGCTTGGATCGAAAAGGTTCAAGAGCGGCTTCGAGTGACCTCTAGCATTATAGACGACATGAAAGCAGTGAAGATGCTCGGACTTTCCACTTTGATGTCTGACCTAATTCAAAACCTGCGACTTGTCGAAATACAAACCTCCGAGGCTTACCGCAAGTTGCTCGTCTGGAACGTCTTGCTCTGTACGATGGCAACCTTGTTTTTGGTTTTGTTTTATTGACTCTTTACAGCGGAATGTCCTCAAAACATATCACCACTCGCCACCTTTGCCGTTAACGTAGTCATTGCACTTTATTGGAAGAACGGATCGCTTCTAACAGCGCAAGCGTTTACCTCTATCGCCTTGATTAATCTCCTTACGAATCCAGTCATCCAGCTTATTCAGCTCATGCCCCAATTGCTACAATGTGTCGGCAGTTTCGAGCGGATCCAAGGGTACTGCCACCATGCCAATTCTGTTATCGAGTGGAACCAGCCTAGTAGAACAAGCAATCATGCTGGACCATACATTAGTCTTCAACCACTGGCAAGAGTAGTGCCAGCTGGCTGCGAAAATGATCGAAAGCACGTTATCATACTGGAAAACAATAGTTTCACATGGGAGAAGTCAAAACCACCCTTTCTCAAGGACATCGACTTGATTATACCAAATGGAAGCACTACTGTCGTTGTGGGAGCTGTCAGTAGTGGTAAAAGTATGCTTCTAGAAAGCATTTTGGGCGAAACAATATGCAGCCTCGGCCAAACGCTGAACTATACTACTTCTATCGCATACTGCGCTCAGCAACCATGGCTAGAAAATGGCACAATTCAGAGCAATATCATAGGTGTATTACAATATGACTCGAAATGGTATAACGTAGTCACTTCAGCATGTGGACTGGGCGCGGATCTGCGGGCTTTTGAACGAGGCGACCAGACCGTCGTTGGTAGCAAGGGTTTTAGTATTAGCGGCGGGCAAAAACAAAGAATTGTGAGTAAGAGATCTTGAAGGAACCTTCAGAACGGATTGACTCGTAACTATTTCTTACAGTCTATCGCACGCGCCGTATATTCACGCAAGGATATATTTATTCTTGATGACGTCTTTAGTGGCATGGATGCTCATACCGTAGAATTTATCTCACAACAACTCCTGACAAATGATGGTCTACTCCGCAAGCGTGGCGCAACAGTCATCTTGGCAACCCACAATCGTAAGCTTTTCGGGCAACATCAATGTTTCTCTCTCCCCTGCTTACAACTTACAGATAAACTTATGAGTTTCGCTGATACAATTGTCACTCTTGAAAACGGCCGGATAGCCCAGACCGGAAGTCCGCAAGCGCTGTTAGCTTGTGAAGGATGTATTTCGAAACCTGGACTTGATTTACGACACCAAGATGCTGCAAATAAGAATGTTGAAGACACTGAAATCTCCAGGGAAGAGAGCACTGTCGCTGAGCCCGTCGCCTTGGCGCAACACCCTATCGATGAAACCATCAGTGCGCCGGACACTTCGCGTCAGAATGGCGACTGGTCGATTTATAATTACTACTTTTCCAGTTCAGGATATACGATCTTCATCATATTTCTTGTTAGCATGGCCGCCTGGATATTTTGTACTGAATTCCCAAGTAAGTGCAACAAATTCATTCAATCTAGAGGAAGCTAATGTATTCAAACTTACAGCAATATGGCTTAAATGGTGGTCAGAAGCCAATGAAACCGATTCAAACAAGGACTTAGGGATGTATATGGGCCTGTACACCTTCTTCAGTCTCTTTGGTGTACTAGCTATTGCCATTTCGTGCTGGTAATTTTGTCACCTTTTGCAGCTTCACATGACTTATAGCAATTAGGATCGGTATTGTCAACATGATATCTAAGTCAGCCATCAGTCTTCACTCTGATTTGCTCATTAGCACTTTGAGGTATAATATTCGACTGCGATAGGTATCAAAGATGTGCTGAGTGAACAATAGGGCGCCGCTGCGGTTCTTCACCACCACGGATACGGGTAGTTTAACAAACAGATTTAGGTAAGCCTTGATATCATTACTCGTTGTGCATAACCTTAGGTTAGACTGGATAGCAGAGCCGCCTAGATAGCTCGAAGTCTAAGGGCGAGAGTCGCCTGTGTAAATTACCATATGTTGAAGAATCATGTCACTAACGCCCATCCAACGAACAGCCAAGATATGGAACTCATCGATATGAGTCTGCCATTAATCATGATTAATTACATATCAAGTCAGTGACATGTTATGTTTTACCTTGAATTGGTGCCTATAATTAACGATGAATCTAGCTAGCTTTTCGGCCATAGCAAAGGCAATCATTCTGATTGTGTTTTCTCAATATCTAGCCACCATGGTACCGTTCGTTGTAGCGCTTCTATACTTTTTGCAATCATTCTACTTGCGAACCTCACGACAGGTCCGCCTTCTCGAGATCGAGGCGAAGGCCCCGCTATACACACACTTTATCGAGTCTGTCGCTGGCGCAACTACTATTCGCGCCTTTGGTTGGCAGTCGCAATATCAAGAACGCAATTCCAAACTCATCGATCAATCACAACGGCCAGCCTATCTACAACATTGCATCCAAAGTTGGCTTGGTTTTGTGTTGGATACGCTTACAACCGTCATTGCGGCTGTATTAGTAGCTGTAGTCGTAACATGGAGGGAGAAGTTCAGCACCGGTAATGTTGGCGTCTCGCTAGTCATGGTCATGACATTCAGCTCTGTTCTTATGAGGATGATCAAGACGTGGACTATGATGGAGTCTAGCATTGGCGCCGTAGCGCGTGTGAAGCGATTCGTTGCCAACACCGAGTCAGAAGAGAAAGGCAACTTCCAGTCTGAGGTACCACTAGACTGGCCAAAACAAGGTAAGGTCCAATTCGAGAGTCTAGTAGCGGCTCACTCTCCCGGAGCGGAGCCGGTGATCAAGGGTGTTTCATTCACCATCAGGCCATCGGAGCATGTTGCCTTTTGTGGACGCTCAGGTTGTGGCAAGACGGTTCGTACAAATTGTTTTACACTTATAGGAAATAGGGGAGCTAATATCATTCGTAGTCTACTATACTAGCACTACTACAGATGATCGAGACACGAGAAGGCCATATCACTGTTGACGGTATCGATGTTTCCACCGTG